TATATGTGTCTTTATATTTAAAGTGGATTTCCTGTAGACAACATATAGTTGGGTTGTGTTTTTGATCCACTCTGACAATCTGTGTTTTTTTCATTTGTGCAGTTAGACCATTGGCATTCAAAATGATTTGATATAGTAGGATTAATATCTATCATTTGTTACTGTTTTTTATTTCTTGCCGTTGTTCTTTATTCCTATTTTTGTCTTCCTCTTTTTTTCTTCATTTTGTGGTTTTAATTGAGCATTTTTTCTTGAGGAAGATTAGCCCTGAGCTAACATCTGCCATCAATCCTCCTCTTTTTTGCTGAGGAAGACTGGCCCTGAGCTAACATCTGTGCCCATCTTCCTCTACTTTATATGTTGGACACCTACCACAGCATGGGTTAACAAGTGGTGCATAGATCTGCACCCAGGATCAGAACTGGTGAACCCCGGGCCACCAAAGCGAAACATGTGAACTTAACTGCTGCACCACGGGGCCAGTCCCTAATTGAGCATTTTATATGATTCCATTTTCACTCCTCTCTTAGTGTATCAGTTGTACTTTTTAAACTCTTTTTTAGTGGTTTCCTTAAGTTTGCAATATATCTTTACAACAAATTCAAGTCCAACTTCAAATAACACTGTATACTTTACAAGTAGTAAGAATACTTTATAATAAAAAATCTTAATTCTTCCCTCTTGTTTCTTATATCATTGCTCTCATTCATTTTGTTTATACATGAGAATACATAAGCACATACACATACATATATGTAAGCATATATAATTGAATACATTGTTGTTATTATTATTTTCAACAAACTGTTATCTGTTAGATCAATTCAGAATAGGAAAATTAAGAGTTTTTTATTTTACCTTCACTTATTCGTTCTGCAGTGCTCTTTCTTTCTTTACGTAGATCTAAGTCTCTGACATGTTATTTTTCTTCTCTCTTAAGAACTTCTCCTAAAATTTTTGCACGGCAGGTCTACTGGCTATAAATTTCCAGTTTTTGTTTGCCTGAGAAAATCTTTATTTCTCCTTCAATTTTGAAGGATTATTTTGCAGGGTACAGAATTCTACGTTGGTGATTTTTTCTCTTAGTACTAAATGTTTCACTCTCTCCTTGCTTGTATGACTTCTGAGGGGAACTCAGATGTAGTTCTTTTCTTTGCTCCTCTATAGGTAAGATGTTCTTTTCCCCTGGGTTCTTTCAGGAATCTGTATTTGATTTTCTGTAGTTTGAAATGGTATGCTTAGAAGCAGTTGGTTTTGTCTCTTGGCATTTATCCTGATTAGTGTTTTTTGAGCTTCCTGTATCTGTGGCTCAATGTCTCACATTAATATGATGGAAATTCTCACAGATCATTGTTTGGATTATTTCTTCTATTCTTTCCTTTCTTTCTTTTTCTGATATTCCCATTACAAGTATGTTATACCTTTTGTAGTTGTTCCACAGTTCTTAGATATTCTGTTCTTTTTTTTCAGTCTTTTTTCTCTTTGCTTTTCAGTTTTTAAGGTTTCTATTGAGATATCCTCAAGCTCAGAGATTCTTTCCTTAGATATGTCCAGTCTGCTAAGTACATCAATGGCATTCTTCATTTCTGTTGCAGTGTTTTGGATCTCTAGACTTTCTTTTTGGTTCTTTCTTAGAATTTTTCTCTCTCCACTTACATTGCCCATCTGTTCTTGCATGTTCTCTACTTTATCCATTAGAGCCCTTAGTATCTTAATCATAGTTGTTTTAAATTCCCAATCTGATATTTCCAACATCCTTGCTGTATCTGAATCTAGTTCTGATGCTTGCTCTGTCTCTTCAAGTTGTCTTTTTTTTGCATTTTAGTAAGTCTCATAATTTTTTCTTGATTGCTAAATGTGATGTACTGAGTAAAAGAAACTGTCTCAAATAGACCTTTAGTGATGTGGTAGTATGGTGTGAGGGGAGAGAAAATGTTGTATAGTCTTAAGATTAGCTCTCAATCTATCTTTTAGTGAATCTTGGCCTCTGGACTGTGAACTTCACAGTTGCTTCTCAGCTTTTTCCTTTCCTTAGGTGGGACAGGATGGCTAGAGTGGGCTGGAATTGGGTATTTCACTTCTCCTAGGTCAGCTAGGCTCTGATAAAACTCTAACAGGTTATTTTCTGGTTAAACAGTTTCTCCTGAGAGCAGGCCTTGTTAAGAAGGACAGAATGCTCTGGTGTATTTCAAAATGGTTCTGGGGCCAGCCTGGTGGCATAGTGGATAAGTTCATGTGCTCTGCTTCAGTGGCCCAGGGTTTGTGGGTTTGGATGCTGGGCATGGACCCACACACTGCTCATCAAGCCATGCTGTGGTGGCATCCCACATACAAAATAGGGGAAGATTGGCACATGTGTTAGCTCAGTGACAATCTTCCTCAAGAGAAAAGAGGAAGATTGGCAATAGATGTTAGCTCAGGGCTATATTCTTCACCAAAATAGATAAACAAATAAAAAAGTTTTGTTTTTTCCTCTCCCTTCCAGAAGCATGAGTAGATTTTGCTTAGCTGTTCACTATGAAAACCTGGTAGAACCTCAGGAGGTAAAACTCACAAAAGTATGCCTGCCATTCCTTACTCCTCCCATGACTTGGTCCCCTGGAGTTTTTAACTCTCAGAGCTGTCCACGTTCAGCCTCCAACAGCTTGTCAATTACACTTCAGATTTTCCTTCCCTGCGCTAGCTCTTACAGAGCTTTCTGCTCCTGTGGGTTGTGATTCTCTGTATTCACCTGTCAGTCCCTCCAATTTTGGGGACAGTGGTCTTCTCTGTGCCCTTTCTCTCTTAGGGATCCTAGAGGAGTTGTTGATTTTTTTCAGCTTTTTGCTTATTGTCATGATAGAGTAGTGACTTCTAGGCTCCTTACATGGTGGACTAGAAACTGAAAGTTGCAGATTATATTTTCTGTGAATGATTTTTATACGAGTAGCAAAGAACTTTTCAAAAGAAAATGGTAAATTTGTTCATGGAATTTATTTTTATACTTTTATTTTTCTAAATATTATATTCATTTTTAACTGAGTACTCATGTGGTTTAAGGAGAAAAAATGTTATAATCAAGTATGCATGGAGAGGATTTGCTTATATAACTCTTCTTGTCCCCGCTGCTTCCTATAGATGATCATTTTTGTTAGGTACTTGTATTACTTCTAGTATATAAAAACAAATACAAATATATATTCTTGTGAACTCCCTTTTTACACAAAGCTAGCATACAATATATGTCTTGTCTATATTTCGATTTTTCTCCTGATGATAAATCCCAGAGATCTGGAGATTTTTCCGTATCAACACAGAGAGCTTTGTTTGTCTTTATACAGCTGCATAGTATTCTATTCCATTGTGTGGTGTACTATGGTTTATTTAATTTGTTCCCTATTGGCAGACACTTTGATTGTTTCCAATTCTGCAAAGAAATGACCTTGTACAAGTATCATTTTGTATGTAAAAAAGTATCTGTAAGATCTATGACCAGAAATTAGGTTGCTGTGATAAAGGCTAATTATATTTGTAATTTTGATAGTTATTGCCAAATTGTCCTCCACAGCAATTGTATTAATATAAAAAACTCTGGATAAACCCTAGTTTTCTGTATATAAGTCTTGAATAAATTATATGAAAGAAGATAGCATGTTAGAAAGTGCAAAAGATTTCAAGCTAGGTACTTGTGCTATTTACTGTACCGCCCTGGGCCTCACTGCCCTTCTCCATAATGAAAAAGAGTAGGATAGTGTAGTTAGAAGTGCTCCTTCTATAAAAGCTTTTTAAAATAATAAGATTTTATATTTCCTATCATCACCAACACTGTGTATTTTATGTTTAACATGAGCCTGATTCTGTGATTTTTCTGATCTAAAAACCAGAGCAAAACCTCTCAACAGCTATTTCACCCAGAACAAGTTTCCTCAGAATAGTAAATACTATTAGTCACTTAAATGAAATAAAGTGAAATTTAGGTGCTGCCTAGAGTAGTATTCAACTCCCAGGTGCTTTGAGCAGCTCAAAGCAACACGTTTCACTGCAACTGCAGCGTGAGCTGGGTAGCAGCTAGACTAAGCTTCAGCAGGTGAACAGCTATATGATAGTAAAGCACCTGCGTCAGGTGCTCCCAGCATACTGATTCAGGAGGTAGCCATTGTCAGCCAGCCAGGAACAGCCCTTCTGTCTCGCATGCATGCACTGTGGTGGGCTCTCCAGTAAGGATGCTAAGAGGCATCTGGTTGACCATTGCAGGAGGAGGGTTAATCATATTGGGAGTAGGCCAAATCTTGCTGTGTGTTCTTGTTTGTGTCTGGGCAGGTGGGCACTAAGGTTTTAGAGAAAAGGCAGCAACAAAGCCAGTATTGACTGGTATTATGAATTTTCTACTTTTCCATCTCATTGCAAAACCATAACCACCATTAACATACTCCCAGGAGGTTGGTATTTGAATCAGAATATATTTATTTTAGGCTCTCCCATTATATACATATCCCAGTCTTGTTATTCTGGCTCTCGAAGTTTCAGTAAGAGAGAATAAGGCAAGCCTTTTCTGACTCATGGGAAAAGTGGGGAAGGGGTGATCGTACATACTGTTTGTTGAATCCCTCCTCTCTGCCAAACTGGGCTGACCACTTTACACTAAGCAAAGACGGAAGCTAGGTTTCTGTTTTCCCCTGGAAGTTAGCAAAGCCTTTTTGATCTCAAAGTTCCGGGTAGCCTTTCTGACCGAGAAAATGAAGACCAAAATCAAACACTGCATTAGGTATATACATTATTATATGACAGGGAAAGAACGTTTATTGAGCAGCTGATCGTGTTTTAGATGTTGTACAGAACACCATGGATGCAACAAAATTAATTGTTTCTGTGTAGATAAGTCTGCCTAGAACATTGAAGTTATCAAATCGCCATCTTTTCAAAGGCCTGTACCTGTGTTGCTCCTTATCAGAAAAAAACCTCACAGATAATAGTTCCCTAGGAGTAAATTTCTTGTCTTATTTTCTGTTTTCATCTCACAGATAAAAATTGCAATATGAAAAGATAATTCTTCCCGACTGTCAGAACCCATTAGAATTTCTACGGCCTGATGCTCTTTAAGGTAAACATGCCGTATGCATTTACTGCAATAAACTCGTCGGATTTACATTTTGATTGTCAAACACTGTACAAATTGCACATAATTGCCTTCTCTATGGCTACACTCTTGCTATTTGAAACTTTTGAAAATCTTCCTCATCTGGAATTCGGTAAGAGATTAATCTTCCCATCAAATAAGGGGACAGGAAATTGTCTTTTGCAGTTTATCCTGTGAGGACACTACTAATTAGAAGCCATTTCCTGCTCTCTGACCACTTTCTAGCAGTACTCCCAGAGGTCCAAGAGATACCATGTGACAGCATTTGAGCTGAAGCCCTTGGTGGTCAGTAGGACTTGTCTACATGCTGTGTTTGGAGATAGCAGGAATCCAAATTATTTCCAGATCTATGCTGTCTTTAGAGCAGGATTTCTCATCCTTGGTGTTATTGATACTCTGGGCCCCAAAATTCTTTGTTATGGGGGCTGTCCTGTGCCTCATAGGATGATTAGCAGTAACCATGGCCTCTGCCCACTGAAGGCCAGTAGTACACCTCCAAGTTTGACAATGAAATGTGTCTCCAGACATTGGTGAAGGTCCCTAGGGAGCAAAATCACCCCTGGTTGAGAACCCCTACTCCAGAGCAATTGGAATTAGATTGAGTAGCCAAATGAGGGTGGGCTCACTGGCAAGGTTGAAATACAACCATTTAGATGAATTTCTTCTCTGTTTCCACACTAATGCAGGAAAAGACTGGTTCACCCGTTAGCTTCCTTTCCAGAAGTTCTCTCTGGCTTATGTGGAATCAGAGCAGAGGCTTGAAATTCTCTGATCCAACTTCCCTGTGTGTAGAGGAACCGTAGTTCTAACTTTCATTCAGAAGTTTCTAGAGTCCAGGTCTTCTTTTCTTTCCAACACTTGTGTTGGTGGCCTAAAGATGGTAGGTGTAATTTCCAGGGATGGCAGTGAAACTTATATTTGGGATTGGTGAAAACTTAAATCAATATATTCTTTAGCTTCCATCATCATGTTTGAATGAGCTCAAATAAAAAGATAATTATTTATATCTCTCAAACATGTGTTTGATATTTTGAATGGCAGATTGTTTTATACTTGGGGGATAAGAGACAATTGGCCCCAGTACACTATCTATAAATTTCTTTAATCATGTGGTCTGCTAAACGTACATTTGACATAGCAATTTTAACACTAATGCTGTTTATTTACTTATATATCTGCCTCTCACTTGTAGATGTCAGCTTCCATATGGTAGGAACCATGTCTGTTTTATCTATGTTTCCTCATTATCTAGTACAGTTGCTGGAATATACTGGGCCAACAACATTAGACTGTAAATTCCATGAGAGAGCAATTATATTTAGTTGTGTCACCACTGCTTTTCCCCGGGTCCTAGCACAATGCCTGGCACGTAATGGGCATTCAACACATGTCTGTGGAACAAATGCGTGATTGGGAGTCACACTGGAAAACTGTGGTTGAATCTTGGGTGCACAAAGGAATTTTGGCTTCGTAGTTGAAATGAATCCAAACTAACTCAGTTTAACTTGTTTTAGCTAGGGTTTGGGGGGCGGAGGAGGAAGAACTTTGCCTCTTTTTAAATTTACTTTCTTTTTGGCAACTCAAAAGAAACACATGACAAGCCCAGTTAAATGCTTGCAAAAGCCTCGACATCTTCTGATAAGTGCAAATTGGTGTGAGAATAGCTTTCTCCTGATGGACTGAGTGTCCTCTATCTAACTCAGCTGAAAGGAACAAACACCTTATGTCATTTTATTGGAGTCTCTTTTCTCTTCTGTTTTGGTTTTAAAGGCAGTTTAGTATAATGGTTAGGAATGCAGCTGCTATAGTCAGACTGCCTGAGTTCATATCCTGGCCACACTATTTATTAGATGTCTGACCTTTCAAAAATTGCTTGACCTTGCTATACTTTAATTTTCTTATCTAATAAATACATGAGTTTAAAAATACTGCCCACCTCATAAAGATAACAAGAGGATTAAATGAGTAAAAATGAATAAATGTGCTTAAAACTCCTAAAGGGCATACTGTGTTAGATACATATATATCCAGATCTGAAAAACAAAAGTACTATCCTACAGATATATACAGATTCATTGGTTATATATATCCTAATCTGGGTTTATATATATATAAAATATACATTTTATAGAGAAAGGAATTAAATGAAATTCTGTTTCCCCAACTTTAAACATATTTAAATAATTGATAAAAGCAAAACCCCACTCTATAGAAAGTCCTAGAGAACGAATATTCAAATCGTCAGCTTTTGAAGGCGTGAAAGCTTGATGCCACTGCAGAGACATAGCTGGCCTCCTGACTTTAGCAAAAATGAGATGTTAATGAAGAATGCAAAGGGAACAGCTTTAGGGGAAACGTAGAGGTATAACGCAGCGGAAACTGCAGACTCGGGGCCTTCCATTTTGTAAATATTTGGATTGTTGGAAATTTGTTAATTGAGGCAATTGATTTTCACCTGAAAATGGTAGCAATATCTAATTCATTAAAGCCTGAAATAACATCCTTTGGGCCAAATGGGGTCATTCCATTCTTAACCTCTTAGTGATATATTAACAGTAGGAAAGCATTTGGACGCATATCTTAAAAAGTGCCACATTAACAGGAATACACGCTGGAAAAAAATTTAAAAGAATGCAAATCTGCACCCACACTTTGCACGAAGCAAGGAGAAAAACCCCATGGCCTCCAGCCCCTGTCCTCCTCTTCAGCAGTGTTTTAAGGTCTGTGTTTAATATTGCCAAGCCTACTTGAGTGATAAATGTAACTGTATAAAAATTACTTATTACAAGCTGTCATGTTGCCTCACTCACACCGGCTGGGCTGGAGGCATTGTACATAAAACTTGAATCTCTACCTTGACAGCGTCAGCCACACTGGCTTTAAAGTAAAATGCTTTCAGTCATGAATACAAAACATAATTTACCTTTTCATAATACTTCAGTTGGAAACAAGTTGGAAAGCTCGTGTTACCGTCAGACCTATACCCGGACAGAGTGGGGGACCGGCGAATTCCAAGCTGTCACCTGAAACCCACTGCTGCTGCCCTGCCGTCCCTTTGAAGCAAATTTAAGCTGTTAAATTGTGGGGCCTCTGATTTTTAAAGTCATATTTATGTGTAATTCCTTTTTGCAACTTTGCAGTGACAACATGTCGTCAAGGTGGATTAGCTCGTTTTTCTAAATTGATATTTGTATTGGAATTCCTGACCAAATAGGTTTTTCTCTCCTTCTATCAACCGTTTGTTCAAGAGGTCAAGAAGCATGCACTGATACCCACATGTTCTTTTAAAATGAAGCCCGGTCTACCACGAGTTCTCTCAAACCAGTAAAACCTCTCAACCCAGCATCTTAGACGAGTGAGTGAGACCCCCACCGGCCGAGGATTTGTGGGTTAGTTCCCAATCTCTGCTTAATCGAGCCGCTGACTACAACCTGCGGATGTCAGCCAGACGGAAATTGAATGTGAAGGTTCCAAGGAGCCTCTCGGCAGCACAGCTGATTCATTGTGACTGTTTTTATGGTTGGTCATGATGCATACAGTATGTGAGCCTCCGTCTGCGGGGGCGTCTGCCCACCAGCCTCCCTGCCACGTTGGCAGCGGTGGCCCCCACCAGGATGCAATGGGAACGGAGCTGCAGATGCCTCCCGTTAGCCCAATTCCTTTTGACAATGTTCACATTCAGTTAGGGCCCAGAGTGCTTGTACTTGTCAGCTGGGATAAATGATGAAGAAAATAGTTCCCCTGTGGAAAGTGAAGCAGCATGGCCGAAGGAAAATCTTTTCTTTACTGCTCCTCCATGCACCACTCCTCAGCACCCATCCTTATAAAACAACCCCTGTATTTGCAACTTCTCTTTCACTTTGCCAGATAAAGACTGCTGGAGAAAAGACAACCGACCTGCAGGTGCATTCAATATCATGGGCTGTTCTGCTTTTGAAATTTTAGGGCAAGTGAAACTGATTCTGAAGGAAAACTAGGGTAGGGAAAATATAGCTGCTTAGACAAGACAACTCCCTTCAAATTGTTGGATTTGGATGTCATGGTTTTCCTGTTTGTCTCTAGATAACACTTTTTGTTAAAGAATTTAAAGCACTATCCACACACCATCTTTATAAAAGCTTTATACATAAACGTGGTATCTTTTTACCAGCAGTTTGAAGATTTTCCAACATGTATCTCCAGGCCTCTTTTGTCCGGCTCTTTTCTCAGACACACTGGCCCCCTTCCCCACAAAGGCACTTGTCTTAGGCAAACATACTCCATTCCTGACTTCATAGCTTCCCAGTGCCATCATTGCAGCTAGTCTGTCAATCATCTGCCTCCTCATCCTGCAGTGCTACCCTCTCTGATTGATGGAAACAAGTTTTTCTTTATCATAACAAGTCATGTAAGGCACATAAAGTAAATCCCAAGGTAAAAAGGTAAAGCTTCTTTTCTTTAGGGTTTGCCTCTTGTTCCACATACTCCCTCAGCTATAGGACCCTTGCCACTGACACCTGAAACAAAATGTCATGCCATCTTGTGTCATGTCATGCCCTCATTTTAACAAACATTTATTTATTGATAGAAATTTTGCTGGTGGACTTTTCTTCTGCTGTGTTATCTCTTCTCTGTACATGAATATGGTTTCGTTTGGGCAGTGTGTTCTTCCAAATGTGTAGGTGCTTTAGACAGTGCCAGTTTGAACTTAGAAGCATGTAAGCTGTTGCTGGGTCTAGATAATTTGTTTTATGTGGGATCTTGAATGGGTCCTAATTGCATATGAGTGGTTGCCAAATAATATTTGATGATTTTCAGATATTAATTAATTTTTAAAGTAGCTAAAGGTTGAATGGATTCTTACTGGGTTCTAGAATAAGACTGTAGCATGAGATAGTTGTATTAGATCAGTGGTTGTCAGATCTGCATTTCTTATGTCCCACTGAAGCCACTGAAAGCACATTTATTCATGTGCACATTTATAAGTGTTCTATTAATTTCTTGTAAATTTACAATAACATCGCAGTATTGTTGTGGAGTATTACTTCTGACTGCCCCTATTCATACACATGCCTCTGAACCAGGTAAGCTGATTATTTCAGTACAAGTTAAATTTTTTTCCGTGATCTAAATCATTGTCACATGTATAGATATATCAGAGGATATAGCTCCATGGGATGCAAATAAGGTCAGCTGGAATGTAGGGAGCACCTATTCATTAGATAAGAATTAATTTAGAATCCACCATGGGTTTAATATCTCTTACTAGGTGCCAAGGAGGATAAAAGATGGTAGATAGTGGTAAGATAAGCATATATTATTTACTGCCAAATTGAACAATATGTTAATAAGTACTGTAGAAGCTCAGAGAAGTGAGAGATTAATGGTTCCATAAAAAGGTAAGATGTGAGTACAATTTGGTAAAACAGAAGGAAGGGAGAACGGGGTGCAACAGATGCAATGTTTGCTGTTGAAACTGAAAGTGGTGTGTTTGAAAGACCCCCGAGGAGATCAGCTTGATTGGAGCTCCTGGGGCTGGAGAGATGGGAAATACTGTTGTTCAAGTGGGTTTTGAAGAAATATAACTGTAGAGGAGATACCAAGGAGGCTGGATTTATCCTGGAAACCATAGTGAACCAAAGATCCACTTGCCCTGATGATAGTGTGTGTGTGTGTGTGTGTGTGTGTGTGTGTGTGTGTGTGTGTATAGGGGAAGGGAATTAATGTTTGTTGAGTGCTAATATGTGCTAAGTATACTTCTAAGTGTTTTAAGTATATTTTCTCATTAAACCTCGGAATGATGAGGATAAAGTAGATATAATTATTTTAAGTGGATATAATTATTCCAGTTTTCCTGTGAAAGCTGAGGCTGAGAGAAAACATATACCTTCTCTAAAGGCTGTTCAGCAAGAAGGTTATAGAACCAAAAGCTGAATCTTGGACCACTTGGCACCAGTCTCCAGGGTCTTTGGGGAGATTCTATGGAGAGATTGCAACTCATCATTCAAATATTATGGCTCACTAGTTTGTAGAACAGCCCAGTTAGAACACACTGGGCAGATAATAGATTTCCCACATAACCTAGTGAGGGCCACTTGACATCTGCTTGCCAGTTTTAATGTAGCCATAGCTGATTAAAATGATAGATCAAGGAAAGGAGCATGGTTCTTTAGTTCCAAATAATGTTTCATTTATACTCTTATATCTTGACTTTAAACACTTTTGAAATTTTTCCTTCAATGCTTCATTATTACTTTCTAGTTACTACGAAACATTCAGGATAGGCAGACTGATTTTGAAGTATTGTTGTATGGGTAATTTTCTTTAAACTGTGGTTGGACACCACGATGGCCCTGAGAATGTGCCTGGCAGACCTCCTGTTAGAGGGAGGTAATTGACCAAGGGCCCCAGATGCTGAGCTTTGAAATCCAGAGCCATGTTTGCCCCGAGGCCACACTCCTGGGCTACTCCTGCCAAAGATGGAGTGCTGCAGGCATACTAAGGTTCCTGGAAGACACCAGACTTGTCAGCTGATTTTGCCTGAAGGACTTGCCCAGGGTTTTGCCCTTCTTTTCTGAGATGCAGGGCAGTCTAGGTCACTTCCACCCAAGAATCTCTCACTCTCTCCTTCCCTCACGGTCTGATGGCTCCCCTGACCTTTTCTGACTCCCTCCCTATTTCCTTTCACACAAGCATTTCCCCTAATAAAATTCTTACACATTTAATCTCGTTTTGAGTCTGCTTCTCAAAGGACACAGACTAACAGAGACATATTAACACAACTGTTCATTTTCTCAAACATCTGAAATGTGGGAAATAAGATAAAATAAATGAAAGATATAAGAAATCAATAAAAGGATTAGAATGAAGTTTACACAAGAATATTTTAAGAGGGAAATTTTAGATTTTTTTCTTGGTTTGCACATGGGTCTCTTATTTTTGGAAAAAAATTATGTAAAACTATAAAAAATATTTTGAAAGAAAGGAAAATGTCTATGATCTCATAACTATAAAATCTATTCTTGTTTTTGCATGTAACTTATTAGCTCTTGACTTTCTATATATTGTATGCCTATGTAATTGGCTAATATATGCATGTCATTTTATTGTCTGCTTTTTTACTTAATAAACATTTTCTTTGTGTCCACATGGTTTAAATATGTTTAATGACTGCATGATACCAGAATAATTCCAAATTCCAAATTTGTTATTGAACTTTTATATTGTTTCCACCTTTTTCGTTCCTATTATAAATATTCTGCTGGATCTTATTTATGTACGAGGCAGGAATCACTTGGGGCTGGCTTAGAGGCTTCCTACTGCTAGGAAACTGAAACACAGAGAGGGAAGTGACTTGTGACTAAATCACATAGTGGGTATATCTGACTCTAGGGTGTCAGCTCTTGGCAGCATTATGCTGTTGCCATAAATATGTTGTGTGTTAGGAAACCAGATGACCTACTTGCTACAGAAAGGCAAAAGTACTATTCTGCCATAGGTGGAATGTGCCAGAAATTGTCAAGTGTTCCCCAGGGCCATGCACACTGGCTCCATGGACTCCCTTAGTCCTAACATCCTTCTTATCATCAAAATGTCTGTGTACCTTGGTTCCTCCAGGCTAGGTATGTAAGGAGGCTGTGGGGAAAGATAGAGTAAAGATGTTTGGTTTGGATGGAAGGAGGTTCAAATTATAGATCTACCGGTGGGTAGCAGTGAGACTTTGGGCAAGTCATTGAAGCTCCTCAGGCCTCAGTTTTCTTAACTGAGCAAGGGCAGCGAATAATGGCTAACTGCTGTGTGGGTTGATTAGAGTGAGAGACGATGTATGTTGAGTGCCTAGCACAGGGCCTGGACCACAGCAGACACTAAAATATAGTGTAACTATAATTTATAATTATACAGATTGATGGATGAGACAGAGAAATGACTTCTTGGTGACATCACATAACTATCCATAGAACCCAGAAAAAAGTCTTACAAATTCAGGCTATTGCTGGGAATATTAAATAGTACAATAAATCCCAGAAAAGTTTTTTTTTTTTGTAACAGAGTCCTTTTAGGGGGCATAAAGATCATACCAGGCCAGTAGCTTGCTTTTATAGATAATGTTATCTCTTAACTGAGGAGCCACCTTTGGAGTAGAGAAATTATGTAAAGAGATAAAAATTGGACCTTTTGATGACCCTTTAAATCTCATGATTGTATCATTACAAAAATTTATTGTAAAATTTTAGCCAACTCTGATAGCATCAGCTATGAAAGAAGCATTTTAAAACATGAATTCGAGTCTTGTACGTTAGCTCAGAGAGCAGTTAATTTTTATGAATGTGATATTGCTTCAAGCTTTCTTTTAAGCTTGATGTCTTTAAGTATATACTGTAAGAGAACCTCCTCAAACATGTACTTTTACAAAATCTATTTTACCTGCAAATCTTGCCAAATATCTATCACTTCTGTAAATTGCTCTATTTTTGTACTCAGAAAGGTATTTGGCTCCATCTCAAAATTTGAAAATCATTAAAGGAAAATAGTAAGTGATTACAATAATTCTTTAAGCTTTCAATTAATGTGTGGTTCGATTTGACAGAATGCGATAGAGGAATTTCGTTTTGTAGATTTGCTTGTTGGAGAGAAGTTAATGTTGTACAAATGGTAAAAGATGGTTTAAAAGGATTAAATAAAACAAGAACCGTTTGAGGATGCAGTTCATACTTTTATGTGTAGAAAGATTTTCTAGTTCCTATGATATTTTAAAAGAATTTGCCTTCCATGGAGAAGTACCAAATAAATGGCATAATTCTGTAAATTACTTATAGGAAAAGACAGTACATAGAGAATCAGCACACTAATGTTGGTTTTGGCGTATATCTGTAACTAAATATTTTAGATCCCCGTTTTTTCAACTATAATGTAAGAGAAGTTGAACTGGATCTTTTCTCCAAGATATATTTTGACATTAAGATTCTCTGCTGTATATTTTTTCCAGCATAGACAGATGATTGTTTCAAAGCCTGAATTAACTGCAGTTAACAGAAGTCCTGAGAACTAGACTAGATGAAGCCAAGAGTTAGCAATATCTGAGGAGGTCCAACCTAATTAGAAGGTGTCCCTTTGGTCCCCTTGGGTCACCACAGCTCCTCCCCAGTGTTGCCTCATACAATGGGGTCCAGGTACTCCTGTTGCAGCGATATATGTTCTATTACTGTGGTGTCTGGGGATTCAGACCTGGATAGTTCTGATGTTGTTTTAGACTGGAGAGGGAGGCCCAGAAATAAGCCAGCTAGTGACAGATCTAATGAGGTCAATTGCATGACTTTATGTGAGGCTAAGCAAAGGCAAGTTTGTGAAACACTGGGTTTGCACTGCTGTCTCCATCTTTCACTTCCGTATGAATTCAATAATAAGCTGTAAGCACTAGAAAAAACAGTGCTCTGAACAAAATCCTTTCAAAGAGATCATCTCTGGAAAAATTTCATGAAGCAGCAACAGCTATTTGAAGCAGCATATATGTCATTTTCCTGAGAAAACTGAGCCAAAGAAATATACTTTTCCAATGCTGTTATCTTCCAAAATTCTAGAGATCTTTATAGATGTACTCTAGCTAGATCCCGAATATTCATATTCCAAATGAGGTTTTAAGAGATTCTATCCTTGTTATCCCAAACCCAGATTTCAATAAAAACAGTTTGGACTAGCTAGCGTAATTTTATGGTTCATATCACCAGAGACCAAATATAAAACTTGAGGAATATGTTTTCCAGGAGAATTATATCTCTTTCCACATATTACCATTTTAAAAGCCTAGCACTTCAATATTTTTTCTCAGTCATGATGATGGCAAATTGCTTACATGAATAACTGTCCAACTGAAATTAATGATCACTAGCAACGAGAATACGAATAGTCAATTTGGAATATATGAGCATGTCTCTTTCTGTTTGGTGCCGTAGAACAAGAAGGACAATTAAGAAAACAACACCACCACCTGGTTCCCATTTAAAAAAGAAAAATCGGACTGGAGATTTGCAATGCTGACCTCCTGAGACGGAAAGGTGAATAAGAGGTATTGGTTTGTGAATGATGCAACCAATTTTCAGAGAAATGCAATGTTTGCTAATAAGGGCAAATTGTGTTTTAACCTCTTCTTAGGCTGTACTTGGAAGTTTTGAAGTGCCATTTGTCATGTACCGATGTGACATAGAGCAGAGAGGCTTGTGGCCCCCACGCAGGCCCAAGGACATAGGGATGAGTTCCAGCCCTGCCTCCGTTCAGCAAACAGTCATTCAGGGAACATGTTAGGATGCTTTGGGCTTTTCAGGAATTGGCAATGCCCATCTCAGGTGGCTTGAAATTATCCCAGAGGATTTGTAAAAGAAAGACTGATGTACACTCAGAAATAACATTCTGAAAAGTGCAGTTAACATAGCAGCACCATTTTTCTCTTTGAAGGAATTTATCATTTTTGAAGATGGCATATTCCCCTGGATTAGAGCTATATATCGGGTATTACTAGTGAGAACTTTGAAACTAAACTATCAGTCATTCTACTTTGAAATTCACTTAAATACAACACCTGCCTAAGTGTCAGGTATGTGCTCAGTGAGTGGCCTTGTGAGGCGGCATCTTTGTCCATCCTCTGTCTTAACCTGTCAGCTCCCTGGGGGCAGACACATCATCTTTAACTTCCCTCGTTACCAGATAAGTAGATAGCAAATGCTAAAAAGGTTGGCTGACTGACATGTGTTGGCCATTAAGAAAATGAAAATAAAAAGGTATTGTTTAATGAGTGCAAAGTTTCAGTTTTGCAAGATGAAAAAGTCCTGGAGATGGATGGTGGTGATGGTTGCACAACAGTGTGGAACTCCCTAGTGCCTCAGAACTGTGCGTTAAACAGTGGTTACAACGGTAGATTTTATTCTGTATATTTGAACACAAAAATGATGGAGTTATTAAAGGGGAGGGAAAATGGAAAAAGGGGAAATTCAGACTTATTTTAATGTTTCAGTTCATAATCATAGACTCTTTTCTGTATTTTTCTTTGCTAACATCAAAGTGACTGATCACTAAGCAATGGGGCTGTTAAGATTGTCATCATATATAGCCTGAAAATGTTTCCTTTCAAGTGTTCTTGATTGAATTGGAAGTTTCTTATTTTCTTATCTGATCTGATACAGTCAAAGAAAAAGAGAGAAAGACAGAAAAAGTGAGTGAGAGAGAGAACAGAAAAAGAGCAAGATTTTATTAATTGTGGCATTACCATGTGTAAGCCGGAGCATAGACCATTGATGCAGATGCCTGACTTGCTGATCCAGCCTGTGTGTCAGTACTGAGACCAACTTCATCTTTCTGAAATCACTCCGGGGTCATGTCCAGCTCTTAGTATTCTTTTTCTGATGTGGAGGCAGATGCCAAGAAGTTCTGAATTAACAAGAAAATCGTGACTAAAGGATGGGGAGCAGAACCAGTAAAGTTTACAAATGGATATTCTTAGACCCAGAAGAAAGAAAGGAGAAAAAAAACCCTTTAATATCTCCAGTGATGAATCCTTCTGATATAATTAATCTGTCATAGTTTAACTGTTCTGGCAAAACTACTCTGCACATGTTAACATTTTCCTCTGTGTGATTTAAGGCACTAGTTATATACATTTAATTTGCATAAGTGAATGTATTCATATAACTGTTTATGGAATGATAGATTAATATTCAAATACGTTCTTTTTGAAGTTTCTTTGGTATTCTTAAGATATAAAATTTTGACATGTTAAAATATAAAAGATGATTTTATGCTTTGTTGAAACTATTGGAATGAAATAAAAAAGCAATAACAAGTCATAGTTCTTGGCTTATAATGAAGAAAGTAAAGCTGGTTTTGAATAATTTACATTTTTACATAAAAGTCAAATGTTGTAATAATTATATTTGTTTCTTTTGTGAAAAATGCAACTAAATGAATATCCTCATTCAATTAGAACCCATCAAACACGTGAACTAAACTTGATGGCCTATTACTTGGTGTTCAAGTTTGTGGAATGCCTGAAGTTTGTCCTTGTGTAAACCAGCTATTAAATGCAAATTTAGGTCAGATTTATGAGAATACGTATTTCCTATAAAAAATAAAATATTTTAAAAATAGGGTATTTTATAAAACAAGAGAACTAGAATGAATGGCTAGAAACTGGACATTCTTCTTTGAAAGCAGTTTTTGACCTGAACGTGTCCTATGGCAGGTGACAGGCACTGTCCTGATAGCCTGGCTTATTTGACAGTCCCTTTAATCAAAAGTTTAGTGCAGAATAGAGCATATATACTGTTTCCTAGTTGCAAGAACAGACATGCTGAGCTCCCTTCATAACCACTTGCTTATCACGGCTGTTAGGTAATAGGGTTAATGCAGTTAGGTTTTCTTCTCTCTCTCTGTTTGTGTTTACCTTTTAAAAAGTTTTAAAACATATTTATTGCCAAAAAGCTGTGGGCCCACTTATAACAATATCAAAATAGCAGATTTGTGTCATAGTTGAGTGGCAGTTACCCCCAAAATAGGAGTGGCATCTAGGCCCTTCCAATCTAGTCATAGAAAACCAGAAAACTACAGTCTGTGCTGTCTAATTTATATTTATGGGCGAGAGAAAAGAGAAATTTGGGATTGTGACCATGGATGTAAATTTCTACCCCTTGGCAAGAAATGGAATTGACATCTTACAAAACTGAGAGTGAATTATAGAAAGACAACGCCCTAAAGACACCTAGATTAAAGGAAATACTATAGAGTCTATTCCCAGTTCTGCCAGTAATTATCTGCAACATCCATTATGTTAAGCATGTCATAATTAAGCAGTAGTGCCCAAGGTACTGTTATCTGGGAGATGTTGACACAGGAAATTTTATGAGGTACACATAAAGGCAACAGTTTTTTATTTTAAGATGTAATAGCTAACATTTTGAGGCCTCAAACTGTGTTCAAAGCACTGTTCTTGTATTATTTCATTTAATCTTCACAACATGTCCATGGGGTTGCTATTGTAATTATCATCCCCTTTTGACAGAAAATAAAGGAATCAGAGGTTCACTGAGTTAGTTGCCCTAGTCCCTTGGTTAGCATGGCAGGGCTGGGATTTGAACCCAGGCAATGTGGCTCTGGAGCCACTCCTCTTAACCACTGCAGCTGTTCTTTCTACTTCTTGTCTGCCTATCTCAAGTGCCTTCTCATAACCATGGCACCAAAAGACATCAGCTTTCAGAAAAGCTTCAATCCTCAAAGAAAGAACTCAGATGCAGTATGCTCAGGTTAGAATGCCATCCTGAAGGCTAAAATGCTAAGGCAACTCATCACCAGGAGTCTGAATTGAAGGCTGGGCAGCAGGTAATGGCCATCCCAGTTCAGGCCCCACGCATCTCCTCTTTCCAGTGAGAAGGCACTTGAGACCAACTTAGAACTTGTTGTTCTTTCATTGTATTAAATATGGTTAGGGAGTTTATATAGTTCTTCCTAAGGAGCGTGGGCTCAGTTGGTTCCCACAAATCCTCCACTTCATAAGCTTGGTAATATCAATGTCAAGGTTTTGTTGTCCAAAATAACTAAAACTAGCTAGACACCATCTTTTAGATATTTGAATATTTTCTGTGTCATGTTAAATATGTCATGTCTCTGAGTGTCAGTTTCTTAACCCCTCTGATGAAGGAGTTCAAGCAGATAAGCCCTAAAAACCTCCTTTAACCATAAAAATTGTGAATTCCAAGGCATAATGGGGATTATAGCCTCTTCTGGTGGCCTGAAATGGCTCTTCTCATCTTGGACATAGATAGTCACTTAGAGTTCTTTACCTGAAGCCCACAAAATGAGGTTCAGGTACATATGTGTACACATGCTCCATATTTGATGGCCATGGGAACATGGGCTAATTTTCCTGGCCAGTCTCCTCTGTATACCCTCTGCAGCTGGTGGTGTGGGAGGCTAGACTCTCTGTTGAGGAGGAAGAATCTCCCAGGTTTCTGGCTTTATCTTCCTTCCCCCAGCCCCACCCTTCACCCCAGGAAGAGAAGGTACACAGACGCCCGCATTGTCTCTAAACCACAGTAATAGCAGGAGTTAGGTGCCTGTAAGTTCTGTTGGACAGTATAGTACTTGTATGTTATGGCTTTTTGTCAATGCTAAGTAGCTGTGGCGGTGGTAATTGAAGATGACATGAAACCTGAGGAGTGCCGAGAAAGGTGCCATTTCTATATGATAATAGATAATTGAATATTGCTCCTTTCTGTTTTACAGTCTTGTGAACACCAGATCTGGCAGATTTGAGTCAAGCCCTGTAAGTTGAGTTGCCAGTTTATTTCACTACAAGTGGCCCCTGCTGGGCTGATCTGTTCTTCCACTTGTTCCTCTGGCACCTGCCCACGAGGAGGGGACTCTTCAACATGGCACATCTGTTGTAGCCTCATAGATTCTTCTGCTGTTTCAGATCTGTGTGTGATGAAGAGTCCTTTTGTGTAGAAATCATCCAGCCTCAACCACACAGTTCAGCAATTTTGCTGAAAGGAGAACAGTCTTGGCTTCACTTGGTGAATCAGGATGTTATTAGCAATCTTGCCTTGTTTCTGCTTCGCAGAAGGAGTAATCACAGCATCTATCCTTAGCTGGTACTGTGGCCTTATGGATAAGTCATATGGTTTTTATGCTTGAGCTACATTGGGCCTTATCTATTTGACAACACCTTCTTTGTACGGTGTGACCTTTTTCTACATGGAAAGATCGTGCGAGTCTTATCTACAGCAATGCAAAACCCTTAAACTGTGTTCCTATAAATTTCCCATGTAGTCACTGATTGCAGTTAAAGTAAGGAGAATGTTTTTGTTGAATAGAACAAAACGTTGCTTGTTTGGTCCCTCAGTTTTTTGAGTTACTTGTTACCTCAGCTGCTGCTTTTTTTTTTTTTTTTTTTTGAGGAAGATTAGCCCTGAGCTAACTGCTGCCAATCCTCCTCTTTTTGCTGAGGAAGACTGGCCGTGAGCTAACATCCATGCCCATCTTCCTCTACTTTTTATATATGGGATGCCTCCCACAGCATGAAGTGCCAAGTGGTGCCATGTCTGCACCGGGATCTGAACCAGCAGCCCTGGGCCGCTGGAGCAGAACATGCAAACTTAACTGCTGCACCACTGGGCCAGCCCCCCTCA